CTCCCCCTCCTGCCTGCTCTGTTACCCGCGGCAGACACCCCCGCCCCACGCACCCCCGCATGCGACAAACACGGACTTTAAACGTGAAGTTTTATAACATCCACACTGGCGAGGTGGATGCGCCCTGCGCGTGTATCCAAAACGTGACTTTTGCTGTCCTGCTGTTCTTGTCGGGGAGGGGTCTGTGGGTCAGGGAGGGGTCTGTGGATCAGGGTCTTCTGAGGAGGAAGCAGATGACCTTTTCCCATTCACCCACATTATTTATGCTTATTAACTTTTTTGTTGGTTTGCCTAACCAGTTTGTAATTACTCAAAGCTACAGATCTATTCACAGTGAACCTCTGTCACAGTTCAGAGTTCATGGCCTCTAACTCAAAGTCTTTGGGGAGTCATTGGGTGAGTGAAAATGTTTTGTCTAACAAAAACTCTCAGGCTTTGTTAGCTCGTCATAATGCAAACATTTTCCATATAACTCTACTTTTTTAAATTATTTTTATTTGTTGCAYTTCGGTGAGACTTTGGAGCTGGACTTACGTAGAATCCACGGATGTCGAGGACGATCACTCTGATCTGAGAATAGACAGCCTSGTCTTTTTCATGAACAAGTGAGCGGTAGTCCATCTGAGAACAACAAATGAGACTGACTGTTTAAATGTGTTAAAAATAAATAAACAGTTAGCCCAGGCTGGCGTGACTCACTGATATTTTTTAATGGTTTTGTACAAGATTCAAGCTCTGCATGSCGAGTTTGTTCAACAACAAATGGTTCTGCTCTTTTTCACATTTCTGAGACGAACACAACKGATCACTCACCACGTGTGTTTCTTTAGAGGCTTTGGCGACGGCGTCCCCCCTCTCTGAAAAGTACCTGAGAAATAAAAAGACAGTTGAAGCTGATGGGTAATGTTAGACTAGATTTCTCTCCATAAGAAAACGTGACACTAAAGCATTTGAAGTGTTAAAAAATAGAGAGAGAAAGGCAGTTTTGGTCGAGTCTTACTTGTTGATGTTTGTTTGAAATTCATCAACTTTGGTCTTCACTGCTGTGATTCTCTCCAGGATTTTCTCCTGTAAGTTAAGGAGGAAAGTTTACATGAAAAAATAAATAAATGATATGAAGCGACACATCAGAAAGGAAAAAAAAGCACTTAAAGAAGACAGACAGGGAAAACAACGATCAGTATGAAACTTTAAAATAAATCGAAAAAAATAAAATAAGCAAACCTGGATGGCAACTCCAAAATCATTTCCATCTTCTATTTTAGGAATGAGGTGCTGAATCCAGCTTGACACCTGCAGGAGTTTAATCATAAAAACATGATCATTTATAAATTAGTAACTGGTCCAACATTAACTAATACCTCRGGAAGTTTTTAATCTCTCACTCACAACGATGATGGTCTCTCTCAGAGCTACAATCTCTGGCTTCACTCGTTCCAAAAGCAGCATAATCTTCTCGTTTCCCTTGATGAAGCCACATTTTGGCGCTGAGGAACATAGATTACAGCTATAACCTTTCACACCTGTTCACAAACATTACCGGTCAGCTGTGACGACAACAAAAACTCTCTACCCTTCTTCTTTTTCTTCTCATCATCCTCATTCTTGTCCGTCTCCATTTCCTGGAAGACATTTTGTTGCAGAGTCAGAAAGTGTTGAATGCTAAAGTGGCAACAAGTAACTGATAATTACAGCTCTAGAGCGAATCAAAAGTACTAAAAAGGAAAGAGGAGAAGTTCTGGGACCGAGCATCACCTCGTCCTCTGGAGAAGGAGGGTCTGGGATGGGGATGTCCAGAGGAGCCTGGAGTGAAGACATGTCTGTGATGCTGAGAGCGTCATCCTGGAGAAAACAAAAACACAAGCAGATGATGAGAGAGAGGACGAGCAGAAACTCCAGGACAAAAGGTTAATTTGAGTTTGGATACTGAACCCTGAGCAGAGCGTCCAGCTGAAATATCTTCTGAGGAATGAAACTGGAAAACAGATTCTCTGCCTGAAATGACAAACTAAACCATCATCAGGCTGCAAAACGATTTATTTCTGACTAAATGTATTAAAAGAACACAAACCTCTTGATAAAGTGACTTGCGGAAGTTGTCCACCTAGTTGGGAAATAATAAGAATGGATGATGTTTGGTTTAAATAAGCTGCTGACTCACGTATGTAAAAGTTTACTTTCGTTTTCCTGCCAGAAAGGGACTTTCCTCCACTCTTTCATTTACAAACAACAATTCTCCAACTTATTTCATGACAAACACTTAAAAAACTACACCAAAACGCAGTGACGATACAAAAGATATGCAAATATTACAATACAGGAATTGCTTTTGTTGTGAACGGAGCAGGTTTCCTGTAAAAGCAGAGCGACTCACCTTGACTGCGCTCGCGCTGCTAATTTTCAGAGTTGCAGCCTTTGACATGATGAAGCTAACTGTACGACTTTAAAATTTCAAATAAAATAAATAAATCCTCCAGGATTTAAAATATATATATATATATTGTCCGGCTGCAGCTGAAGACAGTCCGTCTTATATGGTGATGACTAATTTCATCAGTTTACTTTCGATTAAACGTCGGACTGCGCAGCTTCTCCTACTGTCTCCTTCCTCTGATAAAAGTAGTCCGGACACCGGCTCTGAGTAGGCCACCGAGCATGCGCAATAGGTCAACTGACAACAGGCATTGAAACAAATTAGTCACTTAATAGGGTTCTTCTATCTGCAATACATCTTTGTTTGCTGTTTACTTTTTGAAGACATTTAGACAATCAGATGTAAGATCTCTGTTTTGACATGCGGGGAAAAATTAAAAGAATTATATTCATGGATTTATAATTTATAGATTTTTGTAGATTCAAATAGTTTTGTATATAAATCC